CTGGTAAGTAAACAGATGGCTTTGTGACACATACAAAATCTGTAATAAACATCAGGGAAAATTTAAGTATAATGAAAGCTTAAAGAACTGGTTCAGTAGATTTAAAGTTTAGGCAAACAAGTGCAGCTAAAAGGGAATAAACATTAAATTCCAAAGGTGAACTACACAAACAGTAGGAGTATCAGAAATTAATTTGATGACTTAAAGGCATTTTACTGCCCAGAATCAATTGATTTATTACTGCGTTAATAGAAAGATGGATCAACGTTGATAAGATGGAACTATTGTCTTAGCATAATAACAAGTTGCAATTTTTTTTCATGCTGATAGCCGAATTATGCAGGGAGGAAGATTGGCAATCTGTGTCATAAAATTAGTATACTACGGGCTCACCATGGCCCATGCTTCTTGGGACTTTATGTTCCAGGTAGCGAATCTTAAAACAACAACAATTAAATGTAATGTCAGAGCGACTCAAAACTGAGCCTCACACAAACTATTTGGAAGGAATTAAATAAAATAGTGCTAGCCAGTTAATTGGCATTGTATATTGGCCGTCGAGCATGGACCAAGAAACATGGGAAGAGTTATTAAAGGCAATCAAGTCTGATAATGCCTGGGTAATTAATAGGCGACTATAATTTTAGAAGAATAATCTGGACTAATAAAACAGTAAAGGAGAGACTTCACAATTTTTAGAAATGACGAGACTCTTTAGCAGCCCATCCTCCTGTTTAGATAGTTCTTATAGTAACGAAGTGGGCCATCGTACATATATTGACGTAATGGACAATCTATATAAATAAAAATGGAAATGTTCGTTTGTTCAAAATCGATAATCTTAAGTTCTTCACCAATTGCTTTAAAATTTTCATACAATGTTCCTTTCGCATCCGGCCATGTTTATACATAGTATATACATACTATGTAGCCTCTACATAGTATATGCATACTATGTAGATGCCACGTCTGTGACCGTAAAAAAAAAAATATTTCTGAAAAACTGTTTTTCATGTGTTTTTCATGCGAGGGAAATCGTTGAAACCTCTTTACCGATTGCTTTGAAATTTTGACACAACGTTGCATTCGAATAGGCGCATCCTTTTATATACCTACTATATACATGCCTCACCTGTGACAGGAAAAAACATGTTTTTAAAAAACGACGCCATCTGTTGGATGTAAGAGCAACATATGCTGTAATCTCCAAAAGTTCTTCACCAATTGCTTTGAAATTTTGACAACGTTGCATTCGAATAGGCGTATATTTTTATATACCAACTATATAGAAGCCACTCCTGTGACGGGTAAAAAAAAAAAAAAAAACGCCTTTTTGAAAAACAGCGCCATCTTTTGCACATAATAGCAACATTCACGCTATACTAAATATGTCACGAATTCTATTTCAATGTTTCCGATTGCATTGATAATTTTTTTCATGGATTTTGATTTATTATATTTTTTAAATAACTATTTTTCACATTGTGTTCGAATTGAGCTGTGCTGTTTACCATATCGTTCATTTCGTAGGTATAAGTATAGATGTCACACCTTTGACTGGTAAAACTATGTTTTTCTTGACAAACAGCGCCACCTGTTGCATGTAAGAGCAACACAAGCTATACTAAATATGTTACAATTCCATTTCAATGTTTCTGATTGCATTGATAAATTGAATTTTCATAGATTTTGATTTATTTTCATTTTGATTTAATTATTTTGTGTGAATTGCGGTGAAATTCAGCTGTGTTGCTTACTATACAATTCATTTCGTGATTATACTATATATTTTTATTTTTTCATATTTTCATTTAATTTTTAAATGTTTTTCTTATACTTCAGTGATGAGAACATCACTTGATATTCAATATTTTCCGATGGGAACTTTAGACCATTTGGGAAGGCATCAGATGAGGGAGTGAGAAATGGTGGGGATGATGAGGGGACGGAAGTGAGAGATGGTGGAGAGGATGAGGGGACAAGGGAGGGGGTAATGGTGGGGAAGGACGAGGGAAAAGGAGTTTGGGATGGTGGGGACGAGGGGATGGGGGAATGGAGAATGGTGGAGAGGGCAAAAGGACAATGGGAGTGGGGCATGGTGGGAAGGAAGAAGGAATGGGGGAGTGGGGAATGGTAGGGAGGACGAGGGGACAGTGGAGTGGGGAATGGTTGGGAGGACGAGGGGATGGTGGAGTGGGGAATGGTTGGGAGGACGAGGGGATGGTGGAGTGGGGAGTGGTTGGGAGGACGAAGGGACGATGGAGTGGGGAATGGTCGGGAAGCCGAGGACATGGGTGAGGAGAGAATGCCGAGGAGGATGGGGGGACAGGGAAGGTTGCTGTGGCCGGGTAATGCTAGTTAAAAATAAAATTTTATACAATTGAATTTGCACAAACTGGAAAAGGTTTTGTATATATGTTGTTTAATAAAACCTAACATTGTAGGTCTAATACACACTATCCGAGGCCTAATTATGTACTATACTATGCCTAAGAATGTTTAAGTTAGTTATTTAGCGTTATTTTAATAGGATTGTGTAAAGTGAAGTAATAAATTCTATATAATTGTCCATTACGTCAATATTTGGTTACAAAATGTATTAGGAATAAAAGTTTTTTTTAGACAAAAAGTTATGGAAGATTGAAAAACAATATTTAGGATTTGACTAACAAAAAAAAAAAAAAAAACAGTAAATGACTGATTAGACAATCAACACATCTGAAAATAAAGAAAGTAACGACGTTTCAGTTTGTTCAGGACCGGACGCACAGGACGCATGTTTGAGAACAGTAATCATAAGGAAATTGGATTTAACTTGACGTGAATAAGTTGCAAGACAAAATTCAGTAAAGGTGTTCTGAACACCTAATTATTATTAGTGAATAACGTGAGATTGTGAAATTATTTAAGAGGGGTAATTATGCCGACCTTTACTTGGGAGGTTGACTATCGTTGTAACGGTGTGTGTCCGCAAGTGGGTGACTTGGCACCGGAGAGTGATGTGCATTAAACGTGTAACTCATTTTTAACTCATTTAACTCATTTTTTTCATTTTTAACGGTTGGTATTGTTGTACAGAAATACAGTACATAGTATAAATTGATTAGTTCAGACAATGACCAAAAATTGACGAGTTGTGAACTAAATGACGATATTGGAAAAAAGAAGCTCTATATACGTAAGTAATTATCAAAAGAAGGCACCAAACCGGGAAGGCTATGTAGCACCATCAAATGTGCGGAATAATCAGAGGGCGCTAAATATCACCAAGGATGCAAATACGAGAACACAAATGTATAAGGCGAACGATATCAAAAGTATCCGAGTCGCCAAGAATTCTATTGAGGGACAGGTGACCATGAGGGGTGGCCGGAAAGCAAGACACACGCTCGTCCTGGAAGTCAGGACATTCAAGAAGGACATGCACGACCGTAAGAGGGACAATGCAATTAGGACAATAACGAGCAGGGCGGCGCTCCATCAAGTGACCATGGGTTAAACGAGTATGGCCAATACGCAACCTCGCCAGAGCTGTTTCCCATCGCCCGCTACGGTGGTAGGAGGACGGCCACTAGGAAACACAACCTATAAGAGAACGTAGTTTGTTACCAGTAACAGACGACCAAGAAGCCTGCCAACAGGTAAGGACAGAGGATTGGATAACCGGGTAAAGGTCGGAATATGGAATACCTTTACGAGAGATGGGACAAGAGTGGACAGCTTCCTTGGCGGCAGCATCCGCACGCTCATTTAAAGACACACCAACATGGCTGGGAACCCCAACAAAACTCTACCGACTTAAATTTACTGTGAACAAGAAACAGCCAATGCTGGATCTCGACAACTACTGGATGAACCGGATTAAAGAACCCGAGAGCCATGAGGGCACTACGAGAGTCAACAACAACTACAAGGAAGACTGAAAACGAGAAAGCAGGAGACGAAGAGCATAGAGAATTGCATAAAGCAATTCCCATGTAAAAATGCTATTCTCCGGAGGTAAGCGACACATAAATGCGATCAGGAAAAACAACAGTAGCCAACACCGTCTGCAGACTTGGACCCATCGGTGAAGACAGAAATGGAGCGGGGGTGAGAAGAAATGTGCTCAAGGAAAAGGCGTTTTAGAACCGTAGAAGGGGTAAAAGCTTTAGTGATGCGGGTCAAGGATTTACAAAACCGCTGACAGGGGACTCCCCACGGGGGCAAAGAAGGAACAACACGAGGAGAAACATTATAAATACTCCTGTAGGAAAGAGAATTCTGTAGGCGAGATAACCGGACAAAGAGGGAGGTGGTGAAGAGGAACAGGAACCGCAGGAGGGGTAAAAGTTAAAGCACGACAGAGGCAAGAGGAAGGATGTTGTAAGGACCGCGCAAGATAGTGAAAACAGTAGCGATCACGGCGGTCCTGGAGAGACAGGAAGCCAGTGTCAACATACATGCTAAGGACGGGAGTCGAACGAAAGGCACCAGAAATGAGGCACAACCAAGTATGGCGCAAAGCATCAAGACGGCGAAGAGTAGAAGGAGAAGCAGACGAGTAAGCAGGGCAACCATAATCGAGCTTAGACAGGACGAGAGAGGAATGTAAAGCAAGGAGAGTGCGCCTATCCGCCCCCCAAAAAGTATGAGACAATACCCGAAGGAGGGTAAGGGCCTTAGAGCACTCAACACGGAGGTAAGAGATATGGGGAGCCCAAGACAAACAAGTGTCAAGGAATAACTCCAAAAGCTTTGCGGAATCTTTGTACCCAAGGGGATGACCATAAAGTGACAAGAGGGACGAAGACCGACCCGTTTCCGAGTAAAAGTCATGGCACAAGTCTTAGAAGTAGAGAACTTGAAGCCATGATCGGTGGCCCAAGACGACACGGCATCAATTGCAAGTTGAAGCCGGCGCTGAAGGAGAGGCGAAACATCACCCTGACAGCAAAGGGTAAGATCATTGACATAGAGAGCGGAGAAGACACCTGAAGAAAGAGGAAAGAAGACCACTG